TTTTATGAAATTTGGATTGTATATAATTTCAAATTTATCAAACCAATTAATTAAATTGATGAATTAATTATTCGATTTTCAATATCAAAATCATTCGAAAAATCATTCGAGAGAATTTTTAGGGACTGTGGAATTTAAAATTCGTTAGATGATTCAATAAAAACAATCATGAATCAATTATTCAATTCTCAGTATTGGAAATTTGTGTGATATTTGGATTGTATATAATTTCAAATTCATTACACTAATTAATTAAATTGATGAATTAGGCTCGTCGATTCTGTTATGTCTCTTATTACATCGAAATGAAATTAGATCAATGAAAATGAATAAAAACAGCCTAATCGTAATTAAAATATTTTTAATGGTCCAGTAGAGTTAAAATCGAAAAATGGTTTACTGCCCTGGCTCTGACTGGTACGAGATCCGAATGGTTTTGGTATTAAACCGTGAAAGATCGATCACGAGCCACTCACGCGATTCTATCGGGTTAACTGCGAGTATACCATAATTTTCCTTTGTTTTAAGATCTTCATTGGCTCGTAAATAGATCGGCGAGATTAAAAACACGAAACCGCTTTATCATCTAATATAACGTTTACACTATCTGACATTTTCGGTTCTATCCAGGATTCAACCTGTCCGAAGCTCGTTCCCGTGATTTTAATTCCATTTCATTAAAACAGTCGCTATCTATTGATGTTATCAAAGTACAAATAAACTTGGATATAAAATTGAAAACTCGATTCAAGTACTTTTAACTTATTATAATTTCAATCAATGTGATTCACTCATTTTGTACTTTAAATAGACTCTTCACTAAAATCTGAATTCGATGCATTTATAAAAAAAAGTATGAAATACAGAAAATGTAAAGAATTCAGATATAAAAATCCTTGAATGCTTTTCATACTGAATTCACAATGCTTTAAATTGATGCCAAAAACTGTGTGTTCAGAATAAAAGCTGTGCTCATAATAGTGAATCAAAAAGGGAATTCACAACGAGGCAGGACGTTTGTTTATCAGAATCTTTGTGGAAAGTGATCAGTCAAAGGAAAATTGAGTCGACCGCAGCGGAGAGAAGAGTCCAGAGCCAGCAGCAATTCCCAGATTAATATCGGGAAAACTGAGTACGTAGCTAGCTAGCTAGGTAGCTTGGTTACTTCTTTACGTGGACTCCTGGGTGGTAGCACGGTATGGGAGTTGCCTGACCACAAAATAACGAGTCCACTGTGGGAATGCCTCCACCGATCGACGAGGCCGAGCCGAACGGCTACCAAACTCGGCAACGATTCTCGGAATCCTAGCTATGCCAAACGTTCTCTAGTCTTACTTAACTTCACTTCGGCTCAGGCGTTGCAACTACTAATTCCTTTGATCCATGCGATAGCCTTTGATAATCTAAACAGATCTAAACAACTGATAAAGTGTGAGAATCGAAATTTACATAAAATCAGCAAATAATGTTACTTTATAAAAGGAATTCAATCGGTTGAGAAAGATAGCAGATTCTCTCGTTTTTATTGAATTATTTACACGACTTATATAACAAAAATGAATCTTCACTTATAAGAAGACGTAGCTCTGTCGAATGTCTTTCACAAGGCAATCCTAAATTCCTTGGTCATAAATAACACTATTCTTAGAAGGGGTCAGTTTTCTAAGATAAGGCCCGGGACGGTTTTAAGGGGAGGTAGACCCTTGTTCGTTGGCTTCACTTCGAGTGCGTTAGTTGGCGAGTATAGACGTCCTTCCGAGTTAAAGAATAAAATATTATTCAAAATATAAATTATTTGCTTTTATTACTTCCTATAATCCAATAGTTTTCTACTCTGGATTTTACGTCGGTTATTAAGAAAATCGAAAGCAATCGGAGCTCCCAGGATGGAGACGTTCGATTAGACTTGGCTAGAGAAGCGTTTTCCAATGACGAGTCACTTCGTCATCCCCTCGGTTAACAAGTTGAAATAAACCGACGGGAGGAGGGAGAAGCAATCTCGTTTGGAGACGAGCGAGCGAGACAGTCGCCGCGGCGACAACGAATTTGATTCGGCCAAATACCGGCTGTAATCCGAGTACAATCGTGCAAACAAACGGCCGGGAAATAATGCCGAGGGAATGCGAAACGAGAACGCGCGTGGACGAGACTGCGTCATCCAGCGATTCAACAAACGAATAATGAAACTCGGAACACCGATTCAAACTACTGCCTCAATTATCTGAACTAAAACGAGAACGATAACGTTTACGCGTTCGTTTAGAACTTTCAAGTATATCATTTCTGATTTCGTCGTTGATTATGTGACAAATTTCAAATTGTAATGATACATCAAGTCTATTAATCATGCGTTTTATGTTTGAAGAGTATCGTTTACAGTGTCACGCTTCACTATCTTATCGTCCAAGATAAATTGCGAATCACACTGATAACGAATCTATTAATCACATCTACATATACAGGGTGATCCAGAAAAAGTGTTAGATGTTAGATCTGGAAAGGGTTAATTCTGGAAGTGTTTCTGAATAATAATTTCCTTTGATAAATTGCAAAGTGAGGCACGGTTTTTAAATTATTAACGAATAACACTGACCAAGGAGAGCCCACGGGCTCTAGACGCGCTCCTATTGGTCAGTGTTTTTCATTAATAATTTAAAATCCATGTCTAATTTTGCATTTTGGCAATGGAAATTGTTGTTCAGGAACACTTACAGAATCACCTCTCTACGATTGTAATCCTTTTCCTGGGACACCCTCTGTACATGTACCTGAAAATAACAACGAGTTCGTGTTATAAAATTATAAATTAAGATTCATGAGAGCGTATCAAGATTCTAGCACAGTAAATTAATCAGGTTCTTATCAACTATTAAGGGTACTTAATTAACTCGAAGATGAAGCAACTTAGAAGTTGTTGTAACTTCGTGATACGTTAATTGCAATGGAGTTACATAGAAAGGAGTATAAAATTTTGAAGGGATTTCGTGTGTTTACGGACCTGGTACTCCCTTCAACCTTGGTAGAAACTCGTTCCAGAACGCACAGTACGTGGTTCGTGGCCCCTTGCCGAGTCCGGTCTTCTCTGCATCAAAAATAAAATACTTCGGCTCGTCTCTCGAGTACGGTGGCCACTCTGTCTCATCTTTCGTCGGTTTCCTGAAAAATAAATACAATTTCCTCTGCTCATTTACGAGTTTCAAGTTCCTTCAACGAGAAATATTATATCTAATAAAAAAAAAAAACATTTGTACTTATAACCTTGTGATTTATAGACTAATCACAGGTCTTTTAATAGTCCTTTCATGTCTCAAACTACGATTCCTCTTGCGAGTATCAATTATTAAAAAGAGTAGAGAACACGAGATTTCCATTTTGTCTCATACGGAATTTAGATTGGAGTACGAGATACGGATAGCGAAGCTATAGAAATTGCTATAGCAAAGCGGAATTAGACTTACTCGTCAAAGTTCAAAGGTAACGTCTCGGAAACGTCTTGGGAGACGCTTAATGATGCGCGTTTAAAATTCCGTCTGATCCAACGTTTACTTATACTACTGACAAGTCGACCAATATCACTGGAAATTCACGAAACAACGCAAATCGATTGCATTCCTACCTCAAAAATTACAAATGTAACAAACGCATCATTGTACGTAAAATTCGA